ATGCAAGATAGGAAAAATTTCGAAGTTACCGACCTCAAACGCATTCAAAAGCAAGTAGGGCTGACCAATGATGAAGGAATCATGTTTCACTACTGCCAAACAGTCAGTCACAAAAATGCAAAAGGAAAACACGGATCCGAACCACTGACCCCGAAATCCCAAGCCCACCACCTTAACCACTAGGCCACCAGCACCCGATCGAAGGCTCACTGCTTCGTTCACAAGCCGCTGCTGCTGAGGCCGATTTCTCACTGTGTTAAACTGTGTGAGGGAACAAAAAACCTCCGTAACTCCGTTCAGCGAATCGTTTGGCAGATTTGGGAAGAAGATTCGAGATCAGCGTCCGAAACCACATACCATGATACTTGTCTCATTTCATATGGCCACTTCGACCCTTCATCCTTCCCTAGTAAGAATCCATTCTAAAGTGCACGTCACAATACAAATAAAAAACGAGTCGTTTTCATTGGATGAAAAAAGGTAAAAGAAGGGCAGACGCCTCTACGGAATCGCGCTTCTTTGTTGCATCCCTCTTATCGACTTTTCCAAACTTTCCAGCCTCCCTCATTCCATGGCGGCCTTCACAGGTCAAAGCACATTTGGCTTTGACAACCTTTTATGCTAATTTTTGCCAACGTTCGATATCCAACCACCACGCATCACCAACAGTGAGGCTTTCCTAGGGGGCTTGGTGCATACGGAACCAGGATATAAAGCGACTTTTTCGCTTTTCTCACCGCGAAGCCTTCATTCTGCGGGAGCCTCAGGTCCACCTTTGATCTTGAATGGACCTGGAAAAAAGTTTCGCGCTGTAGAAAGTAAAAGAATACTCGCTCTCTGTCCTGCCCGCGGTTTGATTAGGGCGCCAAAAATACTTTCACTCACCTTCGTCACGTGCCAGAATACCTGAGTGCTTGGCAGCGAAGAAACTCTGAAATCAGGCACTGATATCCTAGCGTTGCAATGCTTGGCAAAAACAAGAAGAGTCCTGGCGTGCAGCTTTAAGTTCTGTTTTCACCTTCCTTCTCCCTTTGGGTGGATTCTTGAACACGATTTGTCTAGTAACAGTTTACAGGTAACCCTTTTTCCTTATCCATCAGAAAAGGTCATGTGACAAGTAAGTCTCTCCCACTGCAGGAGCCCTGACCATGTTCAGCGGTGCCACCGTCTCCACGACATCGTTGTCGGAGAATGGTTACTTTTTGCAAGTCATCCTTGCGCAGGAGCCATGCAATCTTCTCTGTATTGTTCCAACTTTAGTGTTTGTTCAGGAATGAACACAAAGGTTACCTTCAGGCAGTTTGCCTAAATACTCGTTAGCACCAACTGTCTATCCTAACTCCAAGTTATTTCTACAAAGTATTTCTAGGCCTGCCTTTTTACAAAACACCTTTAAGAGAAAAGGTAGAATTTTGCTTGTTCCAGCCAGGTGGTAGAGAGCGCAGTGACACACTAGCTTCAGTCATGCCTAGAATCGCGATTCCTAAAATGCTTAGTAAGCTTGAGATCGGAGTCCGTAGGGCGCTTCACTTGCACATCCCATGTAGGGATTCTTCCGAAGAGTTGTTGAATTATTACCAAATAAAAATAATATATGTTGAAGAGCGGTGGGGAAAATTACCGGTGCACCAATACTTTGTTCGCAATTCGGGACTAACTTCCAGTACTCAGTTATAACCATGAATGAGCTTTTACGCAGTCCTTTAGACTTTGGCAAGCACATCATATGCAGCACGCAAGTACTTTGCATGAATTTCGAACCAAGATCCCAAAAGCGCCCTTATAAGAGGGTTCAAATTTGGGCGGACCATT